AGGACGGAGGATCCTGGCGGGTGAAGGAACGAAGCGCCGCCCGAAAGGAGGAGGAGGAGGAGAGCGGCACCCGCGGAGCAGCCCTGCCCGGTCCCGGCGCGGCTTGTCCGGGAGACGGCGGGGAAAGGCCGGGAGGCCCCGGGGCTTCAGGAGGGATGAGCCCAAGACGACCCCGGGAAAGGCGGCTGCCCGGAGGGCGATGTGGGGAGAAGGACACGAGCGGAGACCCCGAGATGGTCCCGGAGGGCGGAGAGTCCTTCGGAAAACCCGGGAATCCCCAGAGGATCCAGAAGGGAGGAAAGAGATTCCAGTGCCCGGAATGTGAAAAATCCTTCACAACAAATGGAAATCTTAAAGTGCATCTAAACATCCACTCAAGAGATCGATCATTTAAATGCCTGGAGTGTGGAAAAAACTTCAATTATAGGAGCAGCCTTTATAAACATCAACGCATCCACACAGGAGAGAAACGTTATAAGTGCCCGGAGTGTGGAAAGAGCTTCGGTCATAGGACCAGCTTTTATAAACATCAAAGCATCCACACAGGAGAGAAACCTTATAAATGCCTGGAGTGTGGAAAGAGCTTCAGTCAGAAGGATAACCTTTCTACACATCAAAGAATCCACACAGGAGAGAAACGTTATAAGTGCCCAGAGTGTGGAAAGAGCTTCAGTCAGTTGGGAAACCTTTCTAGACATCAAAAGATCCACTGGAGAAAGAAACTGAATAAATGTCTGGAGGGCGGAGGGTCCTTTGGAAGATCCAGGAATCGTCAAAGGATCCAGGAGAGAGGAAAGAAATATCAGTGCCCGGAATGTGGAAAATCCTTCAAAACCAATGGATATTTTCAAAAGCATCTAAACATCCACACAGAGAAGAAATTTCAATGCCCGGAATGTGAAAAATCCTTCATAATCAATAGACATTTTGAGAACCACCTAAAAATCCACTCATTTGGCAACCCGCATAAATGCTTTGAGTGTGGAAAGAACTTCAATAAAAGAGCAGATCTTAATCAACATGAAAGAATCCACACAGGAGAAAAACCTTATAAATGCTTTGAGTGTGGAAAGTGCTTCCGTCACAGGAGCAGCCATGAGAGACATCAAAGAATCCACACGGGAGAGAAACCATTTAAATGCTTTGTTTGTGGAAAGTGCTTCCGTAATAGGTGCAACCTTAATGTACATCAAAGGATCCACTTCAGAGAGGAACCTCATAAATGCACAGAGTGTGGAAAGAGCTTTAGTCAGAGGACTTACCTTTATAAACATCGGAGGACCCATTCCGGAGAAAAACCGTATAAATGCCTGGATTGCGGAAGGAGCTTCAGTCAGAGGTGCTACCTTGTTACACATCAAAAAGTCCACTTAAGAGAAAAACAGCAAAAACACCTTGGGAACTCCCAAAGACTCCACGAGGGAGAAAAACAACATCAATGCACAGAATGTGAAAAGTCTTTCAAAAGAAAGGGCGACCTTAAAAGCCATCTAAGGATCCACACAGGAGAGAAACCATTTAAATGTCTGGAGTGTGGAAAGAGCTTCAGTCGGAGAGGAAAACTTTCCACACACCAAAGAATTCACTCAGGAGAAAAACCATACGAATGCCTGCAGTGTGGAAAGAGCTTTACTGAGGGTTCAGCACTCCAACGTCATAAAAAAATCCATACTGGAGAGAAACCCTATAAATGCCTCGAATGTGGAAACCGCTTCAGTTCGAGAAGAGACCTGTGTAGACATGAAATGATTCACACAGGAGAAAAACCTCATAAATGTCTGGAGTGTGGAAAGGGCTTCAATCGGACAGGGAATCTTTACATACATCAAAGAATCCACTCAGGAGAGAATACCTCATAAATGCCTGAAGCGTGAAAAGGCTTTCTCTTCTACGACAAGCCTTGATTCACATCAAAGAATCCACTCAGGAGACAAACAACATAAATGCTTGGAATGTGGAAAGAACTTTGATAGAAGGGGAAGACTTTACATGGATAAAAAAATTCACTCATGAGACAAACCATATCAATGCCTAGATTGTGGCAAGGGTTTTTCTTCAAAGAGAAGCCTTTATTCACATGAGAGAATTCATTCAGAAGACAAGATAAATGCTTGGAGTATGGAAACATCTTCAGTTGGAGGGGAACCTTTGATAATTATTGAAGAATCCACACTGGAGAGAAACCACCCTAAAGTTGTGTTTTCACGAAAATAAGCCCTTGTTCCTTATTTTGGGGCCCAAGAGAAAATAAGGCTGGGTGTTATTTTTGGGGGAACACAAACGTCTTGAGGGTGGAAAGAGCTTTACTAAAAATGCAAACCTCTATCAACATCAAAGAATGCACACAGGAGAGAAACCCTATAAATGGCTGGAATGTGTTCCAATACTAGAGGAATTCCATAGACATGAAATGATTCACACAGGAGAAAAATCACATAAATGCCTGGACTGAGGGAAAAGTTCAGATGAAAGCAGGACCTGTATTCCCATCAAGGAATCGAACATGAGGAAAAACATTTTATATGCTTTGAGTGTGGAAAGAGCTTTACTGATGATGGACTCCTTCATGGACATGAATGGATTCACATGGGGAGAAATGCTAAATATGCCTGAGTGTGGAAAGACCTTCAGTCAGATATGTGCCTGAATAATTCAGTTCAATTGGTTCAGTCAAGTGTGATTAGACCTACAAGGAATTTGCTTCCTGTGCTGAAGCTCTCAGTGTACACACAAAACAACAGAATAATGATGACAGAAAAACAGCAGTGGGCGGGAGCTTGGAGGCCTTCTAGTCCAACCCCCCATTTAAAGCAGTAGACCCCCTATACCATTCAAGAGGCCATTCAACTAGTTAATTGTTTTCACTGTCAGGAAATTTCTCCTTAGTTCTAGGTTGCTTCTCTCCTTCATTAGTTTCCATCCCTTGTTTCTTGGCTTCCCTTCTGGTGCTTTGGAAAATAGGTTGACCCCCTTATCTTTGTGGCAGCCCCTCAAATACTGGAACACCGCTATCATGTCACCCCTAGACCTTCCTTTCAGAATCACCAGAATAGCATCACAAGCAGAATAGAGAATCACAGCTGCAAGGAACCTTGGAGGTCTAGTCTAGCCCGCTGCTGAAGCAGGAGACCCTATACAATTTGAAACAAGTGGCTGTTCAGTCTGTTGTCAAAAACATCTAGTGATGAAGCACCCACAACTTCGGAAGGCAAGCTGTTCCACTGGTCAATTGTTATATATTGGAACAGCGTCAACCAATCACCCCTAGTCCTTCTAGACTAGCCATATCCAGTTCCCGCTACAATTCTTCATATGCTTTAGTCTCCAGGCCCTTAATCCTCCTAGTTGCTCCTCTTTGCACTTTTTCCAAAGTCTCAACAACTTTTGTAATATGGTGACCAATATTGAATGTAGCATTCAGATGTGACTTTCCTTTTCACGTCTGGCATTTTATCTGGAATCAATGTTTTCTGCTGTTCAAAGATCACAAGCAATCAGTGCACTTTTATTAGTTTATCAGAGCACAAAATATAAAGAAAAATACAAGTAAAGGTAACATAGTGGAGGAAAAGGGGAGAGAAATGTGTAGGGTAGAGGAGAAAGCATTAATTTCCTTGACTCCTTTTGATGCAGTAGAATAAACAAGTACAAATGAATAATTTTTGCTTTGCTTGAATTACTTGATTTGTATTTATATTTTCAGGTGAATTACAAAGGTAATTCAGCTCTTTTCAGCTCCACACCAAACTGGGAGTGCCTGGGGTTAGAAGCAACAATCCCACATGATTAAAAACTATCAAGCACTAATTAAAAGGGACAAGGAAGGGAGCTGGATGTTCTCTTAGAGCACATCTTCACCCAGCTTCTCTTTCCTAAGAAGAGAAATTCAGTTAAGGAATTTGCATTTTTGCTCTTGGAATATAACTCTGCTATATTAGCTACAAATAGAGGAAAGATTTCCCCAAGTCCAGGAGCCTTTCTGAAACCAACCTGCCTCTTGGAAGGCACCTCCACTCTGATGACTGACAGAACCTGGCAGTCTAGCCTGCATGGATGAAGTCATAAAGCCATCAGGGCTCCCTAGGAGTTCAGAGGTGCCTCTGGAACCTCACCTGCTCCGCCTGTTCTCCCTGCACCAATGCCAGGCACGTGTCTAGGAGGCAACCAATCACTAAAGCTGCCCTTTTCCCACCTGTTTGCACAAATGGCAGATTTTAGGGGGTAGACTGCCTCTGTCTAAGGAGGCTCCCCAAAAGTGTCCAGGCCCACTTTCCACCCCATTTTGCCCTGCTTCGGTTCCCACATCCCTACCTCCCTACTCACCCAAAGAAAGGCACGGGGGGGGGAGGAAAAGGAGTGGCATGGGAGCAAAGGAAGAGCGTGGTAGACGCCCCCCCCATATTCCGCCCCCTCCCCTGCTTAGGCGCTTTGCGGGGGGGGGGGGGAAATCAGGACTCTCCCCCACTTTACCTGCCCGCCGCACAACCCTGCGAGGTAGGCCGGTGGAGGAGAGGGCTGCACCCGCCTGTCAGAGGAGCCCCGACTCGGTCACGGACCAGGTCGAGGGAGGGGGGCGGGGGGGGAATGAAGGCAGGAAGAGAGGACAGACAGAAGCAAGACAGGCCCAGAAAGAGCCTCCAAAGGGACCTGGGTGCTCCCCCCCCCCCGGGAGGGACCCCGGATGGGGGGGAGTGGAGGGAGGGGGGAAGCCGCAGCCCCAGAAGGGCTGGATGCGGAAGTGGGGGGAAGACCGCACACCCCCGCCACACTTCCGGGAGGGTCCAAGGCAACGCCTACACGCTAAAATGGAGGAGCTTCCGGAAACAAAAGGGGCAACGAGCGAGCTTCCGGAATCGGCGATAGAAGAGCCCGGATGCAGGTAGGAGCCCAGGAGGAAGAGGCGGAGCTTGGCCGGAAAAATCCGGTGTGGCCCTTACTTTCGATATTGGAGAGGCGGGGCTTCCGCACGCGGCCGACTGCAGGTAGGGCGCAGGGGACGCTGGGAGTCGCAGTCCTGGAGGGTCTCTTTCGGGTCCGCAAGATGCGGAGGCTTCGGCCTGGGCCTCCCCTACGGGGAAGGGGATGCAGCCGTGACCCGCCTCTCTTTCTCCCCCGCAGGAGGACGGAGGAGCCCGGCGGGGCAAAGAAGGAAGCGCCGCCCGAGAGGAGGAGATGGAGAGCGGGCCCGGCGGAGCAGCCCTGCCCAGTCCCGGCGCATCTTCCCCGGGAGACGGCGGGAAAAGGCCGGGAGGCTCTGGGGCAGCAGGAGGGATGAGTCGAAGGGGACTCCGGGAAAGGCGGCTGCCCGGAGGGCGATGCGGGGAGAAGGAAACGGGCGGAGCCCCCGAGACGGTCCTGGAGGGCGGAGAATCCTTCGAAAGACCTGGGAATCCCCAAAGGATCCAGAAAGGAGGAAAGAAATATCAGTGCCCAGAATGTGAAAAATCCTTCCCCAAAAATGGAGATCTTCAAAGGCATATAACAATCCACACAGGAGAAAGGAAATATCAATGCCTGGAATGTGAAAAATCCTTCAAAAGAAGTTATCACCTTCAAAGGCATCTAAGGATTCATACAGGACAGAAACCATTTAAATGCCTGGAGTGTGGAAAGTGCTTCAATATAACGGTAAGCCTTTATAGACATCAAAGAATTCACTTGGGAGAAAAACCATTTAAATGCCTGGAGTGTGGAAAGTGCTTTACTGAGAGTTCAGGCCTCTATCATCATAACAAAATCCATACTGGAGAGAAACCCTATAAATGCCTCAAATGTGGAAACAGCTTCAGTGAGAGAAGAGACCTGCGTAGACATGAAATGATTCACACAGGAGAAAAACCTCATCAATGTCTGGAGTGTGGAAAGAGCTTCAATCGGGAGGGAATCCTTTACAAACATCACAGAATCCACTTAAGACACAAACCATATCAATGCCTGGATTGTGGCAAGTCTTTCTCTTCAAAGAGAAGCCTTGATTCACATCAAAAAAATCATTCAAGCGGAAAACCACATAAATAACTGCAGTGGGGACATCTTAATCATGATAGTTAGTAATCATAACAGAAAAAAACAGTGAATGGTCTTCTTGGTCTTCTATAGCAGATAAGATCAATCACTATTGTAAAAAGTAATATCTTCCATATTGACATCAATTGGGTAACCATCAAAGTATTTACTAATCCACTTTAAATCTTTCTCATTCAGTCCACACTTTCCCAACCATCTAACCTCTGTTTTTGTCGTCTAACCATTTGTAAAATAAGTCCTATGTCATATAACATTCAGTCTTCTTTTTTAAAAATTTTTAACGTTAACCTATCCATTTCTGCACATTCCAGTATTTTTTAAATTGTATTCTCATCTGTAGGGATTAATCCTAGCTGCTCTTAGAATGAAGATGCCTTCCAAGAGGCAAGTTGGTTTCATAAGGGCTTCTTGGGTTCTGGGAAATCTTCCCTCTATTTGTAGCCAATGTATAAAAACTTGTGTTCCAAGAGCAAAAGTCCCAAATCCTCCATTCAATTTCGCTTCTTGGGAAAGGGAAGCTGGGTGAAGATGTGCTCCAGAGAACACCCAAGCTTCCTTCCTTGTTCCTTTTAATTAGTGCTTGATAGTTTTTAATGTGGGATTGTTGCTTCTAACCCCAGGCACTCCCAGTTTGGTGTGGAGCTGAAAAGAGCTGAATTACCTTTGGAAAGTGGGAAACCACTTTTGGACTTTGTGCTTAAGATGGAAAAAAACCAAAACTTTGATTTTGGGTTTTGCTGATTAGATTTGATGCTACAGAAGGTATGTATTATCTAAAAGTAAACAGTTGAAGTGTTATTATTGTAATTGCATCAAAAGGAGGCAAGGAAATTAATGCTGATTCCTCTACCCTACCCTTTTCTCTCCCATTATTTTATCTTTACTTGTATTTTTATATTCTTTTATTTTGTGCTATGATAAACTAATAAAAAAATTAAAAACAAACAATAAAATGCACTACTTGTAAAGTTGAACATCAGAAAACATTGATTCCTGATAAAATGCCACACCTGACAAATTTACGTGTTAGTTTTTTCCAGCTGGGTTTGTGTCTTTCTTGAAAGTTGCAGATGTATTCAAAGGCACTCAGAATCCTCTGTGGTGTAGTTCCTGAAAAAGCAACTTCTCACATACCAAATAAAGAGCCTTAGTCAGGAAGGGAAAAACATGCTGTAAGGACCGGACTCTTTCCTTTTCAACCGATAAGAATGAACTTCTGAAAGGTAGGTACTTTAAAAGGAATTCTTTATTGCAAGGAAGTGATCCAGGTATTAGCCAAAGCAAGATCTAAGGTGCCTTCTCTTGCTATCTCTCCAAGAGGTGACAAGTTTCCAGGCATCTGGGCTCTAGTCAGCAGTTGTATATCATGTGGAAGTTACACAGATTCAATACAAGAATTAGGATATTCAGGTTACATCAAAAAAGGATTACTTGTACCAACTCACCCCCTCCTTCCATTGAAGAATGGCAGATACACGGATCTGACACATGCATTCTTAAACTTAAAAAGGTGTAAATGGTCATGTGGAAAGGGGTAAATATGTCATTTTAAATTAGGGATGAAGCTTAAAATTTGAGGCAACAGGATCATGCACTGTTTAACTTGCTGTGAACCAACTTGCTTTCTTAGACTGCCTCAGCCTTCTCTGTTCTAGGCTTTTTTCTCAAGGGTTTTTCTTGCTGGGGGATATTGCTTGTACAAATCTCCCATATTGACATCAATTGGAAATATTTACTAATCCACTTTAAATCTTTCTCATGCAATCCACATTTTTCCAACCATCTAAACTCTGTTTTTCTCAACTATTTGTAAAATAACTCCTATGTCATATAATATTCAGAGTCTTTAATTTTTAACGTTAACCTATCCATTTCTGCACATTCCAGTATTTTTTAAATTGTATTCTCATCTGTGGAGGTTTCTTCATTTTCCAGTATTTTGCATATACTATCCTAGCTGCTGTTAAAACATGTAGAGTTAGATATGTATTACCTTTATTGTAATTTCCTGGTAGCATGTCCAACAAGAATATCTCAGGTTTTAGGTGTATGTGTTTTATCATAGCTTCCAGCCATATATGGATTTTATTCCAATTTTTTTTTTTGCTATGGGACATGTCCGTTACATATGATAATATGAACTTGATATTTAGTTACATTTCAACATTTAACTTTGTATATATTCGCTATTCTTGCAGGTGAAAAGTTCCATCTATAGAACATTTTATAAAGATTTTCTTTATATGCTGTTGACATTGTAAGCTTGTAGTTCGTATCCCATAATTTCTGCCGTTTATTTAATTCTATTCTACGGCCAAAATTCTTAGCCCGAGTTATAGTTTCTTTTACTTGTTCTTCCAAATTAATATTTAATAAATAATTATATATCCTTTTAATTTGAAACAAGTGGCTGTTCAGTCTATTGTCAAAAACATCTAGTGATGAAGCACCCAAAACTTCTGAAGGCAAGCTGTTCCACTGGTCAATTGTCATGTATGTCAATGTCATATCACCCCTAGTCCTTTTCTCTAGACTAGCCATATCCAGTTCCCAAAACTCTTCTCCATATCCTTTAGTCTCCAGGCCCTGAATCATCCAAATTGCTCTTCTTTGCCCTGTTCCCCAAGTCAACAACTTTTTGTAACGTGGCTGCCAAAATTAAATGTAGTATTCAGGTGTGGCTTTACTAAGGTTTTATAAAGTGGTGCTAATATTACTTCATGTGACGTTGATTCTGTGCCGCTTTTTATACAAGCAAGTATTCCCCCAGCAAGAAAAACCCTAAAATTTGCCTCAAATTTTAAGCTTCATCCCTCATTTAACATGACATACTTTAGCCCTTTCCACATGACCTCTTTTTGAAGTTTAAGGATGCGCATTTTTCCCTTCTTGATGAAGGCTCTTTATTTCAGACGTCTCCAACCTTGGCGAGTTTAAGCCTGGTGGACTTTAACTCCCAGAATTCCCCCAGCCAGCTTTGCTGGCTGGGGGAATTCTGGGAGTTGAAGTCCACCGTGCTTAAACTTGCCAAGGTTGGAGACCCCTGCAGTTTATTTGGTATGTGAGAAGTTTTTCAGCAACTATACACGAGGGCATTTTGAGTCTTTAAATAAAAAGATTTAAGGAGATAGAAATTCTCTCCCCGAGTTTTGAACTTAATGGAGGGGAGGGGCAGGGGGCGCCAGAGGGCCTTGAGGGAAAGAAGGGCGGCGTGGACAGACGCCCCCATACCGCCCTCCGCCCCCTCCCTGCCATAGAGGCGCTTTGCGGGAGAGTCCATCAGGGCTTTGTCTCCCCACCGCGCAACCCTGTGAGGTAGGCCGGCGGAGGGAAGCCTGCACCCTCCTGTCAGAGCAGCCCCGCCTTGACCACGGACCTGGTTTGGGGGGGAAGGGGGAGGAGGAACGAACGACGGAAGGACGGACAGACAGCCCGGAAAGAGGCAGGAAGGGGCGGGGCGGGAGGACCCCAGAGTCCGAGGGCGCCATTCCAATGAGGGGAGAGGGGCGGAGTCACGCAGCGGACCCAACCAATGGGATGGCGCAAAAGGCGCCGCATGTAAATGTGCCCCGAGCCTGCAAGAGAAAGTTTTCTTCTCGAGTTCCGTAATCAGACAAATGTAACTGGAGCGACAGGGAAGGAGAGGGAGAGGCCACGCCCCCAGTTGCGTCATCAGACGAGCGACGGAAAGATGTGTGGCTAGGCGACGGAAGTGACCGGGTGTAGATCTTACACGGGGGCGGGGGGTTGCTAGGCGTCGCAGCCTGAGCGGGTCTCCGGACAGGAAAGTCCTGGGAAGGGAGGCGGAGTCCGTCTCGGGCCTACTTCGAAGTGTCTCCGAGAGGACGAGGCTTCGGCCTTCCTCCGCGGTCGGGGACGCAGCCTTGACCCGCTTCTCTCCCCCTCAGGAGGACGGCGGGGGAAGGAAGGAAACGCCGCCCGGGAGGAGGAGGAGAGCGGGCCCCGCAGAGCAGCCCTGCCCGGTCCCGGTGCTGATTCCCCGGGAGACAGCGGGGAAAGGCCGGGCGGCTCCGGGGCTGCCGGAGGGATGAGCCCAGGGGGACCCCGGGAAAGGCGTCTGCCCGGGGGCCGATGTGGGGAGGAGGACACGGGCGGAGACCCCGAGACGGGCCTAGAGGGCAGACCCGGGAATCCCCAGAGGATCCAGGAGGGAGGAAAGAGATATCGGTGCCCGGAATGCGAAAAATCCTTCAAAAGGAACGACCATCTTGAAAAACATCTAAGGATCCACGGATTTGGAAACCCACACAAATGCTTTGAGTGTGGAAAGAACTTCACTCGGAGAGCGGATCTTAATCAACATCAAAGGATCCACACAGGAGAAAAACCGTATCAATGCCTGGAGTGTGGAAAGAGCTTCAGTCAGAGGAGCACCCTTGAGGCACATCAAAGGATCCACACCGGAGAGAAACCATTTAAATGCCTGGAGTGTGGAAAGAGCTTCAGTCAGAGCAGCAGCCTTTATAGACATAGAAGAATCCACTGGAGAGAGGAACTGAATAAATGTCTGGAGGGCGGAGAGTCCTTTGAAAGTCCTGGGAATCCCCAAAGGATCCAGGAAAGAGGAAAGAAATACAAATGCCCAGAATGTGAAAAATCCTTCAAAACAAATGGACATTTTCAAAGGCATCATCTAAGCATCCATTCCGGAGAGAAGAAATACAAATGTCCAGAATGTGAAAAATCCTTCATAACAAATGGACATTTTGAAAACCATCTTAAAAACCACTCAGTTGGAAACCCATATGAATGCTTTGAGTGTGGAAAGAACTTCAGTCAGAGAGGAGATCTTAATCAACATCAAAGAATCCACACAGGAGAAAAACCTTATAAATGCTTTGAGTGTGGAAAGTACTTCCGTCACAGGAGCAGCCATGAGAGACATCAAAGAATCCACACGGGAGAGAAGCCATTTAAATGTCTGGAGTGTGGAAAGAGCTTCAGTTGGAGAGGAAACCTTTACACACATCAAAAAGTTCACTCAGGAGAAAAACCATATGAATGCCTGGAGTGTGGAAAGAGGTTTACTGAGAGTTCAGGCCTCTATCATCATAAAAAATTCCATACTGGAGAAAACCCATATAAATGCCTTGAATGTGGAAAGAGCTTCAGTGCGAGAAGAGACCTGCATAGACATGAAATGATTCACACAGGAGAAAAACCTCATAAATGTCTGCAGTGTGGAAAGGGCTTCACTCAGAGAGGAAACCTTGATGTACATCAAAGAATCCACTCAGGAGACAAACCATATAAATGCCTGGATTGTGACAAGGCTTTCTCTTCAAAGAGAACCCTTGATTCACATCAAAGGATCCACTCAGGAGAAAAACCACATAAATGTCTGCAGTGTGGAAAGGGCTTTGATCAGAGAGGAAATCTTTACATACATCAAAGAACCCACTCGGGAGAGAAACCATATCAATGCCTGGATTGTGACAAGAGTTTCTCTTCCAAGAGAAATCTTTATTCACATCAAGGAATCCACTCGGGAGAAAAACCACATAAATGTCTGGAATGTGGAAAGAGCTTCAATCGGAGAGGAAACCTTTACATGCATCAAAGAATCCACACTGGAGAAAAACCATACAAGTGTCTGGAGTGTGGAATGAGCTTCATTCAGAAAGGGAACCTTTACATACATCGAAGAATCCACACTGGAGAGAAACCCTATAATCACTCTAAAATTGTGTTTCCACCCAAATAAGCCCTGGTGATTATTTTGGGACCCAAAACAAAATAAGGCCGGATATTATTTTTGTGGAATCTGGATCTTGAACCTATATAGTGTTGGCTATTCCTTCCCTCTTAGTATTATCTGCAAATTTGATGTGTCCCCCTTCTATTCCCTCATTTAACTCGTTTATGAAGATATTGAAGAGTACTGGGCCTAAGAGAGAACCCCACTTGTGGTATCCCACTGCTTCCTTCCATGTAGATGTAGTGACATTAAGGACCACCCATTGTCTCAGCAATTACAAATAAATCCATCCAACCCAGTCATGAGTTCCATCCCACAACATTTCAATAATGGTAACTATCATATGTATCTGTGTGTATTAGTATTTCAACTTCACCCTGTCTATTGAGCATTCACATATAGGGATTTGAGTCCTTTTTGGATCTTGGATATGTTTCTTGTATCTCCTACTCTGTATCTGGGTTTCCCATCCTTTCGACCACTCAGCTTCACTGTGTTTTTCCTTTTTTTCTTCTTCTCTTTATACCTTAACTCCTTGTATGATTGGTTATTTGGTTATTTTTGCTTGGAATTGGGTTCTAGAGGTCGTAAAGAGTGGACTCCCTGTTCAAATTTCTAACTTCAAAATAAAGAGCATTTTCAATTGTACATGCTAGGCATTTCAATTGGCTAAAATTGTACCTTTTTGCAATAGATTTATGTGACCCTTTCCCCAGGCAAACGTTTTCCTTTTAACCCTTTTCAATGGTTATGCTTAATATTCTGAGATGCTTGACTATGTCTCTGATGTAACTCAGCAGGATTTCTTCCCATCCAATTAACTGTTTTGTACGTTTTCTACTGTATGGAGTGTAAAATGAAACTCAAGCCTGTTGTCCGCTCCTTTTTTCCATTAAGGGAAACCTCTTTGCTAGATTACTCTAAAGGTGCCCTTAAATGATCTTCCAACTCTGCCTAATTTGAACAAAGGTGCCCTGGCAGAATGCAGGTATCAGACCTGCCCCAACCCGGTCCTTTAGGAAAGAAAGACCCTCAACTTCATTGGAATGAAGCCAAAGGTACCTCTGGTACAAACCGGTTCTACGTTTCTCTGGTCTTTGCCTGTCATTCCCCCCCCCACCCATTTCCCATCACGTGCGTACAATATTGTCCGTTTGTCCACCTCCTCAATACAAGGGACTCTCCTGTCCCATAGATGCCTATTGGGATGCTGCCATTCTAATGGGGGAGGTGGGAGGCCTAGGTACATTTCTCACTTTTTTATAAGCCTTTCCTGCCTGCAGTGTACTTTGATTTTCCTTCTTGGGAATGAAAAGGGGGAGGGATTGAACTGAGGGACATTTGTTATGTTTCAGCACCGGAGCCTCCAGCAAGCAATGCCTGAAAACAATTTTATCACTTTCTCAGCCTGCAGTTCTCAAAACAAGTTCATACTTGCAGATTGGCTTATCCTACACCGGACTGAGGGGAGGGGTCTCTAGCTGTTTAAAACTCAGGGAATTGTGTGGGAATCCTCAGGTCCTGCTTTCTTTGTCTTGCTATCACTTTCTCTCAATATGAGTCTCCTTTTGAAATGCCAATCATTTCAAGAGTTCTACTTTTTTGAGCGGAGAGGAGAAGCAAGTCTTACAAAGCCAGAAAGCTTTGTGAGATGACCAGCCATATTCTCAACATATAGGAGGAGCACATCTGGGCCCAGGGAGTGGGGCAGGTATAAGTAGGAGATGAACAGTTGACCTATGGAGGTGCTCCTTAAAAGAAGGTGGAGGTCAAAATACAGCCCTGTAAGACTTTCCTGAAGAGGATGGTTAGCACATTTCGTACAATTGCTGAATGAGAAAAACTATTTGTACTGTATTTTCCAAGTTCCTCATAACTGTTTCTCTTAAAATGGAATCAAATGAGGATTTAAAATCAACAAAGGCTACATGCAGTAACTCTGTCCATGCCATTTTGTTTTATTTAGGTTAGTCATAAATCAAACTACACCCAATATATTGTGCAAGAATTGTGAAGGCTGGACTTGGACAACAGGCAAAGCCCCAGAAATCCAGTTCTTCTCAATACTGCCACACTTATATGTTCATGATTTATACTGTTTTGTTTCCTAGTATGATATGCTTGATTATTTAGTATCCTATGACTATCACTAAAGGTTGTTTCTTATGACTCTTGATGAATGTATTTTTAATGTACTAGATGAATGTAATTTATTATTTACACTGACAGCATATGCCCCAAAGACAAATTCCAATCACACTTGGCCAATAAAGAATTCTATTTTTTCCAATTCTATTCTTAGGACATCTGAATGTGGGTGTTAGATCCTATGGAGAGAGTAGTGTTGTGTGAATCGCATCAAAATTTACGGGGCTGGCCAGGACATCTCAAGTTTTGGAGCATCTTGGCCAGACTACCTGGGCAGGTTGTTGTGAGGCTGTAATTGGGTGAGAACCAGCGCCCCACCTCCTGGGGAGGGGAAGAGGGGAGAAGACCGGACCCCAAAATCAAAGGGAGCCCCCCGCCTCAACTCCGCGCGGGACCAGGGAAACCCTCGGCACAGCGCAGGCGCGCTCTGGCTCACCGCTAATGGAGGATGCCGGACGCCGATTGGCCGCTCTGGGGAGGGCGGCGATTGGCAGGAGGACCCCTTCGGGCGGTCCCTGCACTCTAAAGTGGAGGAGAAAAGTTCCGGAAACAAAAGGGGAACGAGCGAGCTTCCCAAATCGGCGATAGAAGAGCCTGGATGTAGGCAGGAGCCAGGAGGAAGAGGCGGAGCTTGGCCGGAAAGGGAGGAAGGCCGCTCTGGCCCTTACTTACGGAATCGGAGAGGCGAGTGTTGCGCACGCAGCCGAATGCAGGTAGTGCGCAGGGAACGCTGGGAGTCGCAGTCTGGGTGGGTCTCTTTTGGGTCCGCAGGGGGCGGAGGCTTCGGCCTGGGCCTCCCCTGCGGGGGGACGGGGAGGCAACCGTGACCCCGACTGTCTTTTTCTCCCTCAGGAGGACGGAGGAGCCCGGCGGGGGAAGGAAGGAGGCGCCGCCCGAGAGCAGGAGGACGAGAGCCGGCCCCGCGGAGCAGCCCTGCCGAGTCCCCGGGGCTGCGGGAGAGATGAGGCTAGTGAGACTCCGGGAAAGGCGGCTGCCTGGAGGGCAATGCGGGGAGAAGGACACGTGCCTGGAAGGCGGAGGGTCCCTTGGAAGACCCCGGCAGCCCCGAAGGATCCAGGAGGAAGGAAAGAGATATCAGTGCCCGGCGTGTGAAAAATCCTTCAAAACAAATGGATGTTTTGTAAACCATCTAACCACCCACTCAGGAGAAAAACCATTTAAATGCGCGGAATGTGAGAAATCCTTCAAAAGAAGCGACCATCTTCAAAGGCATTTAAGGACCCACTCAAAAGACCAACCATTTAAATGCCTGAAGGATGGAAAGCACTTCAATCATAGGAGCAACCATGATAGCCATCTAAGAATCCACACCGGGAAAAAGCTTCATAAATGCCTGGAGTGTGGAAAATCTTTCAAAAGAAATGACCTTCTTCAAAAGCATCTAAGCATCCACACCGGAGAAAAGAACTATGAATGCCCAGAATGTGAAAAATCCTTCAGAATAAAAGACCTTCTTCAAAGCCATCTAAAAATCCACACAGGATTAAAACCTTATAAATGCTTTGAGTGTGGAATGAGCTTCAGTCATAGCAGCAGCCTTTATAGACATCAAAGGATGCACTCAGGAGAAAAACCTCACAAATGTCTGGAGTGCGGAAAGAGCTTCAGTCATAGCAGCAGCCTTTATACACATCAAAGGATCCACACAGGAGAGAAACCATTTAAATGCCTGGAGTGTGGAAAGAGCTTCAACGTGATTGCACGCCTTTATAGACATCGAAAAATTCACTCCGGAGAAAAACCATACGAATGCCTGGAGTGTGGCAAGTGCTTTACTGAGGGTTCAGGCCTCTACCATCATAAAAAAATCCATACTGGAGAGAAACCCTATAAATGCCTCGAATGTGGAAGAAGTTTCAGTGAGAGAAGAGACCTGCGTAGACATGAAATGATTCACACAGGAGAAAAACCTCATAAATGTCTGGAGTGTGGAAAGAGCTTCAATCGGAAGGGAATCCTTTACAGACATCAAAGAATCCATTCAAGAGACAAACCTCATAAATGCCTGGATTGTGGCAAGGCTTTCTCTTCAAAGAGAAGCCTTGATTCACATCAAAAAAATCATTCGGGAGAAAAACCACATAAATGGCTGCAGTGAGGAGCGAGCTTCAAGGGAAGGAAAGCCTTTACATACATCAAAGAATCAAAGAATAAGAATGCTCTGAATGTGGAAAATCCTTCATAACAAATGGACATTTTGAAAACCATCTAAAAAACACTCCGTTGGAAACCCACATAACTGCTTTGAGCATGGAAAGAGCTTCTGTCACAGGAGCAGCCTGTGTTTTCATCATGGTGATAGTACTGGAATGTGTGGAACAATTCTTGGTCTCTGTTTTGTGGCCAGAATCTATTTTTACGAGAGGGCAGTTTCTGGTTCCATATTCTCCTTCAGGAAGGGTTTCAGTTGGAACCAGGATTGGCCCAGAGACGGGGGACCTGGTAGACCAGCTTGGAAGTAATGAAGGCTGGACTTGGACAACAGGCGAAGCCCCAAATAATGTTCTTTTCAACACTGCCACACCTATGTGTTCACGATTTATATTTTGTTTCCTAGTATGATTTGGTTGCTTATTTAGTATCCTATGACTATCACTGAGGGTTGTATCTTATGACTCTTGATGAATGTATTTTTATGTATTTGATGAATGTATTATTTACACTGACAGCGTATGCCCCAAAGACAAATTCCTTGTGTGTCCAATCACACTTGGCCAGTAAAGAATTCTATTTTTTCTATTCTATTCTTAGGACATCTGAATGTGGGTGTTAGATCCTATGGAGAGAGTAGTGTTGTGTGAATCAAATCAAAATTTATGGGGCTGGCCAGGACATCTCAAGTTTTGGAGCATCTTGGCCAGACTACCTGGGCAGGTTGTTGTGAGGCTGTAATTGGGTGAGAACCAGCGCCCCACCACCTTGGCAGGAAGGCAGACTAGGAGTGGCACTCCAGGGAAAAGCTGTGGGGCTGAGCATCTCTGGGCTGTTGGACTCCTGCCCTTTGCAGCCCCCTTCCTGTCTGTGGTGGAGTTGCTCCCCTGATCTACTTCCATCTCGAGAACCCAGAAGGTTTTGGCAGCTCCCAGAGTAAAGATGGCAGTTGGGTCCTTCAGATCACTCCTGTGACCCTGCTGGGCGTTCCTTGGCAGGTGCAAGGGCCCTTGGACTATGGGCCCAAAAAGTGCAGGTGGCAGGGTGAATAGCTTCATAGTCCCCGCCTGCGGCTTCCTGGCCATGTACAGTTTTGTTTGCCTAAAGTCACTTGCATAAGCTGTGTTATATGCCTAGGCACAAAAGAAATTTTCAGTGCCAGAGGGAAGGCTGTTCGTCAATTGTCACTGCCTTCTCTCAAGAGCCAGGTGAGAGCCTTACTTGGAACACCGGTGGTGTGTTCCGGCCCCCTGAGTCCAGTCCTGAGTTCAAGCGGCAGTGGTCATCCAAGAGGCTCTTTTGGCTTTCAGGGGCTTTCCTGCCCAGTTTCTGGTTGGGAGACCCGTCTTTCTGAAGCTGGGATGGTTTGGTTGCTCCAAGCCTCCCTGCTGCATGGCAACCTCCCTGCCTGAGCTGGGTTGACAGTGGAGTTCTCTAGGCTAATGGTCCGGGGAGGCTTCCGTTTGCCATCCCTGGCTTCAGAAGCAATCGAAGTGATCATGGCAGTCATGGTTTGATCTTAATCAAATCAGTGGCAACGTGATCTGGCGGGGAATCTGTTATCCCTTGTCAAAGCCAGATCATGATTTGGCGCCTGTGAGATTCTCTTACGCCACTTTTCCCCCCCACTGCAGGGAGGCTGAACCCATTGGAACGCTCCTCCTCCAGTGACTGATGGACCCAATGGGTTACAGACAGAACTGGGGAAAATCCTGGGAGGGTGGGAGAATGAAGGCTTATTGCATCATCCTGTCAAAAATCTCATTATCTCCTGGAACTAAAGGGCAGCCAAGTCTTTGAACGGGACCGTTGCTTCATGGCTTCTCTTGATGCATTGTTCCCGACACCGTTATTGTGTCCAAAGAGGGTTACCCTGTAGACTTGTTCAGGGTCACCAGTGGATGGGTCCCAAGATACGGGTTCAAAGGCTCCATGAAGACCTTGGGGTGAGGCTGCTCCCAAGGGAAGACCCAGCAGCTAACGAGGAAACTTCCTGCAATGTCACGATGCAGACAGTAGCCTCTTGTAGTTGCTTCCTTAATGCCCCATGTAAGAACATAAATCATGTGGTTTTGGCTGTGAGGGACATCTCTTCACCTCAGCCCTTTGAGCCCGAGGATACATGAAACACACCATATCTGAAGGAGAATACATGATTTCAAGTGTGGGGAATGTATGTATGTATTGCATTTATACAAGCACAAGCTTTAATAAGAGCAGAAAAATGACATAAAAAGCCAAAAAAGAGCCTCCAAAGGCTGCATACTCCCAGGTGTCTGGGATACCATCAGGCCTCTTGGATGTCTCCGGAGATGCTCCCTTGTCTCTCCGCTCAGGGTTGTCCCAAAGGCGCTTTTCCTTCAAGGGGCAGCTGGACTTTCTTGGAGGTGTTTAGCTCCTCGTCCCAGAAGCTTCCTCTCTTTGGACTGGAGGTGTCAGAGGCCGAGGGGCCCACATGTTAAGGGGGAGTCCTGGGGGGAGGCGGGAAAGGCGGTGAGGGAGCTGGATGGGGGGGGGGCATGTCAGGAGTTGCAGCGGAGAGCCTGACTGGAGCCCCCCAGGAGGAAGTGGAGCCCCTTCAGCTCTGCTAGAGGACCTCCAAGGTCCCTTTCCAGCTCGATGGTTCCGTCAGCTGACAAGGGAACGTCCAACAGAAGCTAAAACCACTTTTGAGAACCTCGCTGAGCTCCAGCATCACAGGAACATCCTCTGGCTGCAAAAACAACAGGAACATTAAAAATGATTTCAAACCTTAAAAGCGGCGATTGGCAAAAAGGGGGAGGGGGACATATAAGGCTAAAAAACGTCCGGAGTTGCTCCCTCAGGACCACCTCCCAGCCGAGGAGAAGCTGCAGGGCCAGGAACCCCTCCGGGCTTTGGGACCCCCCCCCGCATTAAATGGGAACAGCCCCCTCCCCGAGGCCTGGGTGGGGCATGTAGCCCCGGGTCCCTCTTCCTGGGGAGGGTGGGGGGCTGCAAGGGGCCCAACCTCCAGAGGGGCAACGGAGGGAAAGGTTCGCCTTCCTGGAGCTTCGATCTCAAGGGGTCAGCAGAGGCTGGAGGGGGGGCGGGGGGGTGGTTGTGCAACTATTAAATGGGGGGGGGATCCTGGAGGGGGGGTTCTCCCCCCTGCATAAATGCAAAGAGGTCCTGGGGGGAGGAAAGGGGGGGCGAGGGGAGCTGGATTGGGGAGGGGTCGCTGCCTGGAGGCCACGGAGAGGCCTGGCCGGAGCCCCCCAGGAGGAAGACTCCGGAGAGGGGAGGCGAGGGAGGGGGAAAGCCGCAGCCCCAAAGGGCCCCCCAACAGTGAACTCCAAAATTCACAGCGACCCGGACACACACACCGCGCAGGCGCCCTCTGGCTCGTTGAAGGCGGGCGGACGCCAATTGGTCGCTCTGGGGACGGCGGCGATTGGCCGGCGGACTCCTTGGGGCGGTCCTCTCCAGAGGAAGAGGCGGAGCTTCGGCCTTCCTAACCCGGAAAAGCGAAAAAGACAGGGTCAGTTCCCGGAAACCGAACCGGGTAACGACGGAGCCGACTGAATCGGCCTTTGGAAGAGCCCGGATGATGCAGGTTCGGCGCAGGGGATGCTGGGATTCGCAGTCTGCGGGAGAGTCTCCGGAGGGGAGGGAGGGAGGGAGGGCAAGATGGGGAGGGCGGGACGCTTGAAGGGAGGCCGTGTTCGCCTCGCGCCTGCGCGGAAGGCTCGTGAGAGGCGGAGGCTTCGGCCTGGGCCTCCCCTGCGGGGAAGGGGACGCAGCCGTGACCCGCTTCTCTTTCTCCCCCTCAGGAGGACGGAAGAGCACGGCGGGGGAAGGAAGGAGGCGCCGCCCGGGAGGAGGAGGAGGAGGGGAGCGGGACCCGCGGAGCAGCCCTGCCCGGTCTCGGCGCGGCTTCCTCGGGAGACGGAGGTGAAAGGCCGGACGGCCCCGGGGCTGCAGGAGGAATGAGCCCAGGACGACACCGGGAAAGGAGGCCGCCTGGAGGTCGAAGCGGGGAGAAGGAAACGGACGGAGCGCCCGAGACAAGCCAGGAGGGCGGAGGGTCCCTCGGAAGACCCGGGAACCCCCAGAGGATCCAGGAGGGAGGAAAGAGATTTCAGTGCCCGGAATGCGAAAAATCCTTCAAAAGAATTGACTATCTTGAAACCCATCTCAGGACCCACTCGGGAGAGAAACCTTTTACATGCCCGGAGTGTGGAAAGAGCTTCAGTCAGTTGGGAAACCTCTCTAGACATCAAAGGATCCACTCCGGAGAGAAGCCCTACGAATGCCTGGACTGTGGAAAGAGATTCAATCTGAGGGAAAGCCTGAACACGCATCAACGAATCCATTCGGGAGAGAAACCGTACAAATGCTTCGAATGTGGGAAGAGCTTCAGTGTGAGGGAAAGCCTTTACAGACATCTAACTATCCACTCGGCAGAAAAGGAATATCAGTGCCCGGAATGTGAAAAATCCTTCAAAACAAATACTGATCTTGAAAACCATCTACGAATCCACACAGGAGAAAAACCTCATTTTTGCGTGGAGTGTGGAAAGAGCTTCAATCACATGAGCAGCTTCTATCGACATAAAAGAATCCATTTGCAAAAGACCTACGAATGCTGGGAATGCGAGAAATCCTTCAAAACAATTCAAAACCTTGAAAAACATCTAAGAATCCACTCGGAAGAGAAACCGAATAAATGCCAAGAGGAGGGGGAACCCTTTGGAAGTCTGGAGAATCCCCAAAGGATCCAGGAGGGAGAAAAGAAATTTCAATGTCCAGAATGTGAAAAATCCTTCAAAAATAATGATAAACTGGAAAACCACCTAAGAATCCACTCAGGAGAAAAGAAATACAAATGCCCGGAATGTGAAAAAACCTTCAAGAGAAATGGACATCTCCAAATCCATCTAAGCATCCACTCAGGAGAAAAGGAATATCAATGCCCAGAATGTGGAAAATCCTTCAGAAGAAAAGACCATCTTCAAAGCCATCTAACAATCCACTCAGGAGAGAAACCTCATAAATGCCTAGAGTGTGGAATGAGCTTCAATCATAGAAGCAGTTTTAGTAGACATCAAAGAATCCACTCAGGAGAGAAACCAAATAAATGCTTGGAGTGTGGAAAGAACCTCAGTGATGGGAGCAGCCCTTGCAGACATCCAACAATCCAGACTGGGGACAAAACAAATAGATGCCTGGAATGTGGAAAGAACTTCAATGATAGGAGCAGCCTTTATAGACATAGAAGAATCCACTCAGGAGAAAAACAGTATAAATGCCTGCAGTGTGGAAAGAGCTTCAGTCATTGGAGCAACCTTGATATACATCAAAGGATCCACTCGGGAGAGAAGCCATATAAATGCTTGGAGTGTGGAATGAGATTCTGTCAGAGGAGCAGCCTTTATAGACATAGAAGAACCCACTCAGGAGAAAAACTGTATAAATGCCTACAGTGTGGAAAGAGGTTTCATCAGAAGACGAACTTTTATCTACATCAAAAGATCCACTCAGGAGAGAAACCGTTTCAATGTGCGGAGTGTGGAAAGTGCTTCAGTCAGAAGAGAATACTTAATGGGCATCAAATAATCCACTTAGGAGAGAAACTGCATAAGTGTGTAGATTGTGGAAAAAGCTTTACTCGGAAGGGACACCTTTTTGCACATCAAAGAATCCATACTGGAGAAAAGCCGTATAAATGCCTGGAGTGTGGAATGAGCTTTGCTGAGAGCAGAAAGCTCCGCAAACATCAATGGATCCACACTGGAGAAAAACCATATAAATGCCTGGAGTGTGAAAAAAGCTTTAGTCAGAGAGTAAGTTTTTATAACCATCAAATGATTCACACAGGAGAAAAACCACATAAATGCCTGAAATGTGGAAAGAGCTTCAATCGGAGAGGAAACCTTTACATCCATCAAAGAATCCACTCAGGAGGCAAACCATATAAGTGTCTAAAGTGTGGGAAGAGTTTCTCTGCAAACAGAAGTCTTTATAGGCATCAAAGAGTCCACACAGGAGAAACATCATATACCGTGTTTCCTCAAAAATAAACCCAGCCTGATTGATTTTAAGCATGCACCTAATTGTTGTGGCTCCGGGCTTGGATTCAGCTCCTGTGACTGATATGAGTTCAAGTGAGGAGGACATGGCAGAAAAATATGAGCCGGCATGGCTCAGTGATTGGACTGGTAACCAGGATGAGGAGATGGACGTGACAAAGGAAGACAGACCTGATGTATTAGAATTGTCAGGACCTTTGACCTCCTCTGGTTCCTTATCTGATCAACAGCCGGGAATGGCTGACAGGGAAGTTTTGAGAAAGTCTTCTAGTGGAGATGAGAACTTGGAAAATTTGTGGTTAAATGTAAAGAACAGAAGACGATTGAGAAGGCAAAATCAGCTGGAACGAAGGAGGAGGGTGAGTCAGTAAATTAGCACGTTGCCTCAATGAGTATAAAAGGACACAACTGGGCTGGTACAATTTGCCAGGAACAAAGTGACTTATTGAGTGAGGACGTTACAGCAAGAAGCTCTGAGACTTGAGATTTATTGCCAGGACTGGTTTGCCGAACAGAGTAAAGATTTATGCTGTGGATTGAGATTTCTGCCAGCCGTTATCTTGTAAGACTTCTTTCTGTTTGATTTAATTGTGAAACGGCTGCTTTCTGTTTTGTTCGTTTGAATTTTGAAGGGGAGTCATAACACCTAATACAAGCCCTACCCAAAAATAAGACCCAGTGAAGGGCAGGTGGGTATGGCCAGTAGAGGAGGGAGCAAGCCCATGCAAGCCAACACTGGCAGCAGACGGAGGCAGAGGTGCACGCCAGGAGGTAGGTGATCTAGATGCACTTGCTGGAGCATGTGAAAACCATTAGGCTGGAGGCAGCAGCCAACTGCAGGAGGCTCATCTTCGTATCTGTCAGCTTGCCTGCAGCCTTTGCGACACATTGGGATCACCTTTTCCTTGCGCCTCTACCTCTGTCTGCGGCCGATGTCGCCACAGGAATATAAGCCTCCCACCACTGGCCTGCACTCCTAACTCACCGACTCCACCTGCCTTCCCTCCCACCTCTGCTTCTGCCTGCTGCTTACACAGGTAATCAACTCACCTGTGCTGCACAGGCTGTGCCTTCTGCCAGACACTCAGCCTGTGCGCACTTGCCACCTCTATTGCTTTTTCAGGTGGGCGGGGTGCCCAGCCCTACTGATCACCAAGAAATTGTGTTTCCATGAAAATAAGCCCTAGTGTTTATTTTGGGACCCAAAAGAGTAAGTAAAGGACTCCTTCCCTCCATGTAGATGTATTACCATAAAGGACAATCCATTGAGTAGAGTTTGTCAAGTAGTTACAAATCAAGCCATCCAATTCAGTATTGAGTTTCATCCCACCTGGTTTTTGTAATAGCAACTGTGTCCTATGTACTTTCAAGTTCATTCTGTTTGTTCCCTAAACTTTGAGCGTTCGTATATAGGCATTTGAGTCTTTTATGGATCTTGGGTATGTTTTTTATATCTCCTACTTTGTATCTGGGTTTTCCATCCTTTCCATCCCTCTCTACTTCACTATATTTTTCCTTTTTTTCTTCTTTCTCTTTACTCCCTACCTCCTTGGTTATCTAGTGGTTTTTTGCTTGGAATCAGGTTCTGTAGGTCTTGAAGATTGCAACCCCCGCTCAATTTTAGTTTAAAGCCCTTCTGATAAGGTGAGCCAGTTGTCTGCGGAATATATTCTTTCCAGTTCTTATGAGGTTCATTCCTTGCCAGCAGTGCTTCATCTAGATAATGCAGACCATGGACTGAGAAGCCCAATGTCATGCCCCTGGTGGAGACTGACTCCGAGGGAGAGGAGGAACAGCCGACAGGGAGTGGAAGTGTGGCTCCGGAGGTTGTGAAGGGGGCTGAGGAAGGGCAAAGGCCAGCTGGACAATCAGAGGAGGACCCAGGCCCATCCCCTCTCCATCCTAGGGCATGCAGGGAGGAGAGGATAAGGGAGAGATGTGGTCTACTTGGGAGGAGAGGGCCTTGATCTTCATGGGCTGCAGCTGTGACAACTGAATAAGAGGATGGACCTGCGTACTGATGAACACTGGAAACAAAGCATGGAAATATCTCTATGGTTCCTCTCTGAGTTTGGCGTCCTTCTCATGTGTGTTATCTGTGGACATCCTCCAGGCCTTATCATGCCTGGTTTGTGTTGCTTTTTCCCTTCTTGTAACTGCGTGGGAGTTTTTTTAGTCTTCCATCAAGGATATTCGGAGCTTGGAAGCAAAGTGAAGGAATAAAAGGGGCTTCCCCTGTTTTTTGTGACTGTGTTTGTTTTGTATCCCACCCGGGGTCATCACCCCCAAGTTCTCTTGAGGACAGCAGTTTTTAAGCCAGTGGTTGGTTTCTAAAATCGTTTGTTCTCCCATTAAATGTTGGCTTTTTGTTGGAAATAGACTCAAAATACCACTTGTGCTCCTAATTCTTTAACTTTCTTCTCTAGCTGTTCGTATTCTTGTCTTTAGATTCATTCTTTGTCCCCATATGTAGGGGAGGACATGGGTAGTAATCTGTGGAGTTGAATATTTTAGTAACTTTCTCAATTACATCTTTGATTTTTGCTCCACAAAGACAACACACCTTCCTAGGTTGACAGTTTGGTCTGCAGACTATAGTTTCTGTTCCCCAAAGAATTGAATCTCCTATCACCAACATTCACCTTTTCCCCGAATGTTGGATTGTGCCTCCTTTTTAAAAACTATTGATGACTGCTCTTTTATAGGTGTCTGCATATTTTCTTCCAGGAGGAGACTATGACCACAATGTTCAGTTCCAGAGGGGCTTCACTGGAATGGGCTAAGGTAGGCAGTAGGGGCTTTATTCTTGATTGCTGTTTTCTTCTAAAAGAGACCTGTTGTATTTCAATTTGGATGTATCCGTTTTCTTTTTGTTCATTTTTTAAAAAGAAGCTGTTTGCTCTCTATTGTCTTTAATGTTGGTATATTCTTGTTTAGGTTGGGATTTCTCGCTTTCTTAGTCGAGTTTCAAAATAAGAGTTGCTTCTAGACCCTATACTTTTTCTTCTAGTACTTCATAAGATTTACATTTGATAACATATGTAGTTTGAGCGTTCTGTGGGCATAAGTTCAAACATATGACATGTTTTGCAAGTCGCTATGATGTCAGTTTGTTATATCCATGATTTTTTGTTAATAAAAAGTCTAAAAACTTATTTTCCCTGTTGCGAAGTGTCCGTTTGCAATTGTTTACAAAGCTTCTTGATCCTGACATCACTCAGCCCACCTTGGAAGCAGCCAACCAGGATGTCTTGTGGCCAGTCAGTGAACCTGCAAGCCGAAACTCCTGGGTGTACTAGCCACTCCTCTCCATCCCTAGCATTATGGCTGGCCATAAACAGCACTCTGGGTGGATTACAAAGTAATCGTGATTTGCATATTGCCCCCAATGACCTGGGTTCTCTCTTTACCATACCCAAATGGAGGGAGAGCTGAATTAGCCTTGAGTGCTATCAGGCTCAAACTCCAAGCTGTGGGCAGTGTGCCTGCAATAATACATTCTGCTACCAGGGCTTTTTAAAATACCCCATGATGCCATCGAAGGGTTCATCAAGATTTAGGAAACTGCTTGACTCTTGATCCCAGACCTAATTACAATTCAATAAATCAGGTGTCAACACTCACCTTTCATTGCCATCTCAACCTTTCTCTGTCAACTTCAGAATATACTGTATTCTCAGCCCAGATACTGGAAGTAAACATCAGAATAACACTGTTGTCAGGCTACCGAACTTTTCTCATTCACTCACTTAGAATGAACTTCTGAAAACGTATCAATACATATCAAAAAGGAATCCTTTATTGAGACAATTTATGTAGGAGTTCAAAGCAGCATCTGAGGTCCCTCAGGCATACAGGGATACATAAGGGAGTTTAGAACCCCTCCCCTTATCTCGATGTGTATTTAGAGAAGCAAAAGCCAGTATGTTAATTCCCCCCCACCTTTTTTTAGAACGAACTTTTTCCAGAGATTCCCAGGACACTGTGGAATTTTTATGATCTCATCTCCTGGCTGTGCTTCTCTTGCAGGTGATAGGTTCTGGCCATCTGGCTTTTCTCCCTCCATTTTATCATGTGTGGGTTATACAAATTCGATATAAGATTAAATATATTCAGGTCACATCAAGAAAGAATTTCTTTAACAACCTCCCCCCACTTTTCTTCTTCCACTGAAGAAATGACAGATACACAGATCTGACAACTGTTTTACGATTCCCTTTACAGGTTATCCTCAACTTTATGACCACAATTGAGCCTAAAATTTATGTTGTTTAGTGAGAAATATATTAAGTTTGTTAAGACGCCTCACACCCCAGACAAACTGTTTCAACTCTGATCCTCAAAACAATGCTATAGACCCCTACACACCAGAACAACTATTCACAAGGAGAGTTTTTTCCCAAACGCCATCACTCTGCTAAACAAATAATTCCTCAACACTCTCCAACTATTACAAAGTCGGCACTATTACTATTAATCTTCTCATCACTACTTATCACCCATCCCTTCCCACTTGTGACTGTATGGCTGTAACTTTGTCACTTGTATCCTAAGGATTTTTATTGTTTCCTAGTATGATTGCTTACTGTTCCCTATGACTATCATTAAGTGTTGTATCTTATGATTCTCAACTCTTGATGAATGTATCTTCTTTTAAGTACACTGAGAGCATTTGCACCAAGACAGATTCCTTGTGTGTCCAGTCACACTTGGCTTGTGGGAAGTTGGCAAGGAGCATTGGCCATTGGAATTGACTTCCTGCCAGCTTCTCCATTGCATTGTGACAAGCTTTCCAAATTTCAACCCGAACGCAAGGATGGGCGCTCTACTTTGGATGCATCTTATAGAGGTACATTCCTTCAAAAAGATTTTTGCCCTATTATGCACTGTGTTGTGCAATTTCAATTAAAAAAAACAGGACCCAAAGCAAATCTAGGTTCACTGCAATGCTTTATTAGACAGTATGGACGGGAGTGGATATCCTGCGAAAGAATAGTGGGAGACCCTTCACTGGTGGGTTCAAAGGCTGCCATTTCCCCTCCATGGAGACCTTGGGTTGAGGTTGGTCCCAAGGGAAGACCCAACAGCCAACAAGGAAACTGCAGTGTCATGATGCAAACTAGCCTAATCTAATTGCTTTAATGCCCAATGCAAAGAACATAAATCACATGATTTTGGCTGTCTTTGCCCCTTTGTCCCCCTGGAAATACATGAAATGCAGCATATCTGAATGGGGAGAATTGAATGCATGATTTCAAGCGTGGAGAATGTACGTATGTATTGCATTTATACAAGCACACGGTTTAATAAGAGCAGAAAAATCAGAGGCCAAAAAAGAGCCTCACAGCTCCTCCAAAGGCAGCATATTCTTACTTGTCTGTAATAAGGTCTCCTGCTTGAGCAGAGGGTTGGGCTAGAAGACCTTCAAGGGCCCTTCCGGCTCAATTGTTCGGTTAGCTGACAAGGGAGCTTCCTGCATAGGTCCAAAACCACCTTGAGAACCTCATTGGGCTCCAGCATCAGATTATCACAGATATTTAGTGCAAAAACAAGAACATTAAAATGATTTCAGACCTCAAAAGTGGCTTTTGTTGGGCGCGGGGGGGGGGGGGGGGGAAAAGTAAAAAAGCCCCAAGGAGAAGCAGCAGGACCAGGAGCCCCTTCAGCCTTTGGGGCGCCGCATTAAAAGGGAAAAGCCTTGCCTAGGGGGAGACCCCGGAGGGCGGAAAACCGCAGCCCCAGAAGGGACCCCCGACCTCCGCCAGACTGGACGCTGGAGAACAGGCAGACATTCCGCACTGCGCAGGCGCCCCCCCGGCTCTATAGCGAAAGGAGGACGCCGATTGGTAGAAAGGCTGCTCGGGGCGGTTCCTCCATTGGCACAGCCCACAGCGGAACTTCCGGGGAAAAGGGCGTGTAGCCGCCGGAAATTAGACGGGAGAGGAGGCCGCCGCCGGAATCGGCGAGAGAAGAGCCCGGATGATGCAGGTTTGGCGCAGAGGATGCTGGGAGTCGCAGTCCGGGGTGGGTTTTTTTCATGAGAAAGGGAGGCCTGGGAGTCCGAGGCCTAGACTGGCGGGGGCGGGGGCGACGCTTGGAGGGAGGCCGGGTCCGCCTCAAGCAAGCCCGGAAGGCCCGTGAGAGGCGGAGGCGTCGGCCTGGGCCTCCCCTGCGGGGAAGGGGACGCAGCCGTGACCCGCCTCTCTTTCTCCCCCTCAGGAGGATGGAGGAGCCGCCCGGGAGGAGGAGGAGGAGGAGGAGAGCGGCCCCCGCGGAGCAGCCCTGCCCGGCCCCGTCGCGGGTTCCCTGGGCGACGGCGGGGAAAGGCCTCGAGGCCCCTGGGCTGCATGTGGGATGAGCCCAGGGGGACCCCGGGAAAGTCGGCTGCGCGGAGGGCGATGCGGGGAGAAGGACACGAGCGAAGACCCCGAGACGGGCCTGGAGGGCGGAGGGTCCCTCAGAAGCCCCGGGAGGCCCCGAAGGACCCAGGAGGGAGGAAAGAGATTTCAGTGCCCGGAATGCGAAAAATCCTTCAAAAGAAAGGACCATCTTCAGAGCCATCTAATCATCCACACGGGAGAGAAACCATATAAATGCCTGGAATGTGGAAAGAGCTTCAGACATATCAGCAACCTTTACACACACCAAAGAATCCACACAGGAGAGAAACGTTACAAATGTCTGGAGTGTGGAAAGAGCTTCAATATGAGTGGAAACCTACATAGACATCAAAAGGTCCATTTGAATAAATATCTGGAGGGTGGAGATTCCTTTGAAAAACCCAGGGATCCAGAAATGAT